CGGTTTTGATTCGGATTTGGTGAATTGGAAATATTTTCGCATTGGAAATCTTTTTGCTCTGAAATTTAGCGAATTTAGCGAATCGAAGAGAATTTCAGACAATAAATTGCCCGACGAGGTGACGATGTGCATCAAGAAACGAGGTGAGGAGTTCTGCAAGAAGCTGCAGCTGGCGTGCTTCGAGCTGATGAAGTTGCCGATCGGCGTGGCCGGTAAAAACGGTGAACCACAACTGCCTCAACCGGTACTCTTCTGTATCTCATCGGGTATGTCTCAGTCTCAGTCTCAGGCTTACTGATAAGGTTTACTGATAAGGTTTAGTGATAAGCAGCCTTATTCTTATCATTTAGATGCGCGATAGAGCGTCGTTATATCCAGCTGATTAGCGATGATTAGCGGAATAATCAGCGGAATAGTGAGCGCATTGTTGTCTAATGTGCGGAATACAGTTAGAAGTATGTTTATAAGATCTATTTTTATTTTTGCAGAGAATTGGATGGCACAATGCTTTATGAGGTATGGCGAGGGCAATTGTATGGCGTGGAGGAGTGTATGCATGGAAAAATACTCGAAGGTGGCTGGTGAGCTGAGTGACTCTGAGAAGGAGTGCATCAAGAGCCGTTAGTTTTATTGTTATCGTAGAGTTGTGGTCGGCTTGAGTGATGAGATCGAAGTTGTCGAATCGATTCGACAACTTCGATCGCCGCCGCCGCCGCCATGTCTGAATATATTTGTCTGTCTTTAGAGATGGATTTGTTTTTTGGGGGAATTCGATTTGTTTTGTGCAAATTTCAGTGGGAATTTTATGGATTTTGTATTGGAAGATTGGAAAATTTTTAGGAGATTTTGTACGATTGAAAATTTGGTTGGAATGTGAATGAGTTGATGTGATAAATTGTGTTGCAGAGACCGTAATCCACAAATGTGTACTGAAATACAACGCAAAATTCTGCTATAAGATCATCGCGGTGTGCAGTGACATCTATAAAGTACCCTATACGGAAGGACCAGTGCAGAAACTGCCTCCGACGGTCGTGTCGTGCTTGTATTCAGGTGGATATTTGTTTTGTTATTGTTGTTATTGTAGAAGATTTGATTGAAATTGAATGTTAGGTGGAGGAATATGGAGGAAATCTTTTAGATAGTGTATGATTTTGCATGAAAGCTATATGAAATCGTCGGATTTTGATTGGAATTTTAGAATTTTGTTCAAAAAGTTTGGATTTGCAGAGTTATTCGAATGGTATTTCTAAGAGAAAGAGAGTGTTTCGTGCAAATGATATATTTGTGTATTCAGAGAACGTGGTGGTATTGTGTCGTGCGAAACACGGTGTGACCTTCTGCAAGAGACTCGGCACTGCTTGCTCGAAACTGACGCATGTCACACTGCCGGACTTTACCACGGATGTGAGCATCACAATGCCGGTGGTGATTGCGACGTGTATTAGAGAGGGTAAGTTGAGTTTGACGTGAACATTCGGCAGATTTTTAGATTTTGGATTCGAGAGATTAATGATTCGACGATTCGGCAGATTTACCGATAGCGATACTTTTGCAGAGAATTACATCGCGACACTGTTCGTGGAATTCGGTTTCCAGAAAGTGGAGAGTTGGGTGAGCAGATGCAAGATAACGCAGATAACGAGCGGTGCGATTACGGTGGTGCAGAAGGAGTGCCTGCAGAAATGTGGGTTTTGACATTGATTTTGGGTTGATTTGGTTTGATAAACTGAACATTTTTAATGGAAATTGGAAAGGAATCATTAGGAATTATTGAATGATTAATTAAAACTGCAGTGTCGGTGGAACCAGACCCACGAACGGTTTGCGTGCAGAAGTACGGCAACGAATTCTGCTCGTTACTCATCGAGGCATGCTTCAAGATCAAGAACATTCGACTGAAGGGAAGTGTGATCTGCCCGTCGTGTGTACTGCCTGAACCGGTGTTCGAGTGTATCTCGAAAGGTTGCTTTTCACTTCAGAGCATTTGAAAGGCAGTGATGAGACTGTAATGAAAAATGCAAAATGGAGAAATAATTTCATTTGCAGAGGAATTCGTAGCGATGTGTTACGCGAGATACGGAATACCACGTTGTTTGGCTTACATGGAAGAGTGCGGTGTGGCCGGAAAGGAGGGCCAGATGATAGGTGCAAAGGACTGGCAGTGCATTCAGAAACGTATGCTTTTTCGGCCTTTTCTTACCATTTTTTGGAAAATTGTTCAGAATTTTTCAATTTTTTGGAGACTTGTTCAGAATTTTTCTCATTTTATGAGCTGTCAGTTTCACTTGGGAAGACGAGACTTAAGGCGTGGGGATTTCGGGAAAAATATCTTTGAATTGGTGACGTTTCAGTGCATGAAATGCCGGATCCGATGGTGACTTGTCAGAAG